CACTCAGTCTAATTGAATTAGACCAATTTTGTGAAGCAAATCGGAAAACTTGGCTTCACTTAGTGGTTTGGTGAAGATATCCGCCAGTTGTTCTTCAGTTGAGATATACTCAATTTTGATATCTTTCTTTTCCACATGATCTCTGATGAAGTGATGCTTGACATCAATGTGCTTAGTGCGAGAATGATGTACTGGATTTTGTGAGATGGCTATAGCACTTTGATTGTCACAGAAGATTGTCACTTCCTTTGTCTTGACTCCATAGTCTAGTAGTTGTTGCTTCAGCCACAGAATTTGAGCACAACAACTACCAGCAGCAATGTACTCTGCTTCTGCTGTTGATGTAGAAATGGAGTTTTGTTTCTTACTGAACCAAGAAACAAGATTTCCACCAATGAATTGACAAGTACCAGATCTATTTTTTCGGTCAACTTTGCATCCGGCAAAGTCAGAATCTGAGTATCCCACTAACTCAAATAAATTGCTCTTAGCATACCACAAACCCATGTTCTGAGTTCCTTTGAGGTATCTAAGAATCCTTTTAGATGCTATCAGATGACTTTCCTTTGGCTTTGACTGGAATCTGGCAAAAACACCTACTGCATATGAGATATCCGGACGGCTTGCAGCAAGGTAGAGTAGAGATCCGACAATCCCTCTGTAGAGAGTTTGATCTACATCCTTTCCATCTACATCCATATCAAGCTTGGTGGATGTATTCATGGGGACAGAAACGGATGATTTCTGATCAACTTTAAACTTCTTGATAAGATCTCTTGTATACTTGGCTTGATTGATGAGAGTGCCTTCACTTCTCTGTTTGATTTGAAGGCCAAGGAAGTAGTTGAGTTCCCCCATCATGCTCATCTCAAATTTTCCTTGCATGAGGGTTGAGAACTTTGTGCATAGATCTTCCTTCGTTGAGCCAAATATGATGTCGTCCACATAGATCTGAACTAATAGGAGATCTTCTCTATCTTGTAGTTTGAACAATGTCTTGTCAATTACTCCTTTGGTAAATCCATTTTCTAAAAGAAATTGAGACAATGTATCATACCAAGCTCTTGGTGCTTGTTTGAGTCCATACAGCGCCTTTTTGAGTCTATACACTTGATCTCCCTTAGTGCGTAACTCAAATCCTGGAGGTTGTTCCACATACACTTCTTCCTCTAGGTTTCCGTTCAGAAATGCGCTTTTGACGTCCATTTGATAGACTTTGAAGTCCTTATGAGTAGCAAAGGCTAGAAACAGCCTTATAGCTTCAAGTCTAGCAACTGGAGCGAAGGTTTCATCAAAATCTATACCTTCTTCTTGACAGTATCCTTTTGCAACTAACCGGGCCTTGTTTCTGACAAAACGCCGTTTTCATCCATCTTGTTCCAGAAGACCCACTTTGTCCCAATGACATGTTGATGAGTAGGTCTGGGAACAAGTTTCCAGACATCATTTCTTGAAAACTGGTTGAGTTCTTCTTGCATTGCATTGATCCAATCAGAATCAGCTAGAGCTTCTTCAATATTCTTTGGTTCTACTTGTGAGATGAAACAAGCAAGCATAGCTTCTAGATTCTGTTAGGCACTCCTTGTGCGAACACCAGATTGAATATCTCCGATGATCTGTTGAGGAGGATGATTCCTTAACCAACGAAGATTGTGTTGATTGGGATTGACTGGTTGATTTAGTTCAGCTTCTGGTTGAAGAACAAAAGTTGTTGGTGTTTCCGGATGGATTGGCACTGGGTCCCCATTTCCGGAATTATCGCCGTTTGAGAGATCTGGAATATTGGAAGGCTGGCCAAAATTTCCGGAGGGCTCAGCACTGTCTGAGTCCGGATTTCTCTGTGAAGTGTTCAGAGGCAGACTTCTGAATGGAATGAACTCCGTGGGTTTCATTCTATCTCCTTCATTGACTTCTTCATCCTTGTCTGATAGATCTAGTGCCTCATGATCATGCTTTGATGGCTTGTCAACCACATGTTTTTCATCAAAGATGACATGTATTGATTCTTCAGTGATCATGGTTCTTTTGTTGAAAACTCTGAATGCCTTGCTCATCATAGAGTATCCAAGGAAGATGGCTTCATCTGATTTTTCATCAAAAGTGTTCAGATGATTCTTCCCGTTGTTTAACACAAAGCACTTGCTCCCAAAAATATGGAAATATGATATATTAGGCTTTCTCCCGTTCCACAGCTCATAGGGAGTTTTGTTGTGCCTTTTATAAATCATACTCCTATTTTGAGTATAGCAGGCTGTGTTAACAGCTTCAGCCCATAACCTCTTTGGTAGGGAAGCTTCTGCTAGCATGGTTCTCACTGCTTCCTTCAGGGTTCTGTTCCTTCTTTCAGTTACACCATTCTGTTGAGGTGTCCTTGTTGCAGATGTCTGATGAAGAATTCCGTTTTCTTCACAGTAGTGAATGATGATTTCATTCAGGAATTCTGTGCCTTTGTCAGATCTGATTTTCTGAATGGTCTGACTTGCTTGGTTTTGAATCAGCTTCATGCAGTTGGTGAGTTTCCCTTGAGTCTCCTTGTTGCCGTTGAGGAAGATTGTCCATGTGTATCTTGAGTAATCATCAACTAACACAAGGACATATTTCTTTCCACTTAGACTTATTGGTGTAACAGGGCCAAATAAGTCCATGTGAACAAGACTTAATATCCTTGTAGTTGAGGGTGCCGATTTTGCCTTGAAGGTGGACTTGACTTGCTTTCCTTTTTGGCAAGCATCACAAATACTTTCCTTTCTGAATGCAGCTTTGGGAAGACCTTCTACTAACCCTTCTTTGGACAGCTTGTTGAGAGTTTTGAAGTTGAGATGACTCAACCTCTTATGCCAAAGCCATAGAAGGTTAGTGTCACCTTTGCTGATTAG